CAGTGCCTGGTGCCATCTTCAAAAACAAAATGCTAGCTCATGCCTGCAACCCCAGGGATTCTCATCTGAAACCTACAAACATGCTATGAAGCTAGACGGACCATCCATGGGGCCATTTTGAAGACACAGGCAGCATGTATGTGTCTTGCTACTTTAACCTCTGTACCATTTTACCTGTTGTTTTCCTGCATTGCCAAATCACTTCCAACTTATGGCTGCCCTATTAGGATTTCTGAGCCACATGAGATGATCGAAGAGTGGTTTCTTTGCTTCCATCTCATGAACTCCCATGATTGAGTGTGGAATGGATCTCAGGGCTTCAGAAGCCTTCTCTGACGCTCTCTCTATGACACCACACTAGCTCTTTGAGTTTACCTGCTGTATTTATATTGATGACATATTGTGGTGCGCCTACCAATAAGTAAGTCCTGCTGCGTTTGACAGGGTTCACTTCCAGGAACGTGGATAAAGGAATGTAGCACATATTACTTTCTTGGTCTTAGCATAAACCGCTTGCTCACAGTAAGTAACAGGTTATCGGGAAGGTGGCTGAGCTAAAGTAAACTGAGCAAATGGCTGTAACATGATGCATAGTTAAGTGCACTGAAATCAATGCACACTTAATTGTGTGCTGCATTGTGGCCATTGAGGTAAGGAGTTCCCCACTCCTGAATGTCGAGACTCCATCTTCTTTAAACCCATACCTGCTTTTCCTTCAAAAGAAAGAACAAAGGATTGTCCCATTTTTATGTGCAACGACACTCTGTATGCAAGCATGTTTTCTCCGTCCCATCAGGAAGTTGGTGTGTTGGCCAGCCCAGCCCGACCATAAGGCAGAGTGAGACAGTTGCCCCAGGCAAGAGGCTTCAGTTGCCCAGAAAGGCCATCAAGTTGCTAGTTACTTAATTGGTCCTGACTGTGATTTGATGGGCAGGGCAGGGAAGGGCAGGGAGACTTGCTGCCTCATCCTGAAAACTCATGTGCTTGTCCTGGGTACAGTGCCTCGTGATCTGTACGGTTCCTTTTTGGTAGCAAAATTCCTTGGGACAGCCCTGTGGATGGGTTTTCTTTTCTTTAATCCATAGGCATTCCCTCATCCCTTAGAGGAAAACAGTTGGGATGGATGGATAGCTGACTAGACAGACAGTTATGAATCTATTGCATTTTTCACCAGTCTTATGGTGCTGCTACAACAAATCTTTATGGCTCCACTGGTGTTGTTTCAGGATCTAATTATTAGTTTATTTGGCTATATCGCTATTGCAGATAGAGAAGCATATGGCAGGTTGTTGGGACCTTTTAAACTCTGATCATGTATTTGCCTTTTAAATTGTAGACAAATTGCTGTTTTGCCAGGGAAAATCCTGATCTTGGGAAAACAGACCGAAACCGCCATGTAGTCTTTAAGAGTGTATGGAAAAAATGCCTACACCATGGGGCAGATGGCTGGTGATTAACCCTCCTAGTTGTTTCCTTTTAAGTGCCCGCTTTCTTTCTCTTTTTATCTTAAAGAAAAGGGCCAGAATTGAAATACACAAATGACAGAAAGCAATATACTGAGCCTAACTAAACTAAAATCAAACAGAAAGAAACCTAGACAAGGCCCTTGTTCAGTGAAATCAATTCCCAAGGCAGCTTGATTGATTTATAAGCATACTTTTCGGTTTCATTGATTTAAGGATTCAGCTTGTTTGAAAGCAAGTCATGGGAGACCTCCTACAACCCTGGTTTTCTATTCATCTGTGACCGTAATTAACAAGCGCAGACAATGAAGAAGGGGGGGGGAAGGAGGAGGAGGTGTCCTCTCCTCTCTTTATTTTTATAGTGCTAAATTCATTAAGGAGAGTTGACCTCATTCAAGACAAATTCCTATGTTTAGGATTAAGACAGATTTAAGCAACAGAAATATTTGTATGTCTCTCTTTGTGTGTTTGGGGATGAAAAAAGCCAATACAAATCTACCCTGTGCCATAAAACGAGGGCCTCAAAAGCAGAAATTGCTGCATCAATTTTTTTGGACCCACCAGTAGTTTAAAAAAAAAAGGAAACTTTTACATCACACCGAAACCTTCATCAGGCCAGGAAAAAGAAGAAGAAAAGCATTTGTAGGAGACACGTCTTTACATGCTGATTGGAATCTTTGTGTCTGTGATGGTTTTTGCAAACTAAAGAAAGGTTCGCTAATTAGATTTCCTCTTGGACAGAAGCAGGTAGTTTTTACCGGTTCTTAGATTACACTAGAATATGCATTAATTCTCTCCGGCGCTTGCAATCGGATCCTTGAGAAGATCTCCTTACGATTCTCAAAATCATCGGATGAAATTGTGGCAGGCAGGTTGCTTCCAGTGGCATAAAAGACAAAAGACAAGCTGCTGCAGTGCTAATGCGCTTGCTGGGGAGGAAACAGGGTCATGCCTCAGCCTTGCTATGAAGTCCGGGGAAATTTCGTATCTCTCAGCAGAAGCCTACATTGCAGGGTCGTTGTGTGGCTAACCCCCGCTCCGGCTGCAAATCTGTCGGCAAGCTGTCATTTTATGACTTCGGAGGAAAAACGCAGGAGACTGTGCCGGAGCAGTGCACTTTTTGCTTTTTGCAAAATCTCAAGTCTACCCCTGTTTGGTGGCTCGCTTTCTCCTCGCTTTCCTGGACTTAAAGCCAAGGCGTTGGTCCTGCAGGCTTCCCAGCACAGGTGCGTCCTTGCAGTTTAGGGGAAGAGAAAAGTGTCGGAGGATTTTGCCCCAAGCAAAGTGCCCGCCGTCTCATGATATCTGAACAAGTGGATTTCACAAGGAGGTCGGGAGGGAGGGGAAAAAAAAACAACACAACTGCGAACAAGAGCCGCCACCGCAAGACCGGCAGGATCCCAATCAGCCGATCCGAATCAAATAATAAAAACAAGCCAGACCCCCCTGTCGCTTACACACACACACACACACACACACACACACACACACTCCTGCTTCTCTCTACACACACACACCTGCTTCCTCTCTCCACACACACACCTGCTTCTCTCTCTCTACACACACACACACTCCTGCTTCTCTACACACACACACACACACACACACAAACACCCTCCATATATTTTGTGCAATATCAAGAGGACCAAGAGAGCTGCGGTTCACGAAAGCCTACCTACTGGTTCTACTAAAAAATTACGAATCTTGCCGGATGGAAGAAGAGATCTAAATTGGAGAATTCTTTCCGAAAAAGTGGAAAGGAGGGTGAAAAAAAAAAAGAAATACCCCATCCTCCTTCCAGCAGCCCTGTCCCCGAAAGCGACTCCTTTCCCCCCTGCATCCTTGGTTAGTGTGTGTGCGCGCGTATATATATATGTATATATTTTATAGGTATGTATATTTTTAAAGGCGAGGATGCTCTGACCACTGCCTCCCTTGGGTACCACTTTTGACTATTTCATCCTCCAGGCCCCGCCCCCTTTTTTTTGCTCTTCGGCGGCTCCTCCCCTTTGGCTTGGAACGCGCTTCCCGGGGTTCTGATTGGCTGTGG